AAAACAGGTTTGATTTGACCACTTTTTTACAATGTATATAGTCTAGATTATTTTACAAAACCCATTCGGCTTTAGTAAATATTTGAAATAGTGGGTAGATATACATTTTTTACAACCTTAATTATGTTCCCTCTGTGCACAACGCCAGACATAACTACCAAAATTCCTGTTTCTAGAATAACAGTCAAAATATCTGAAATTAACTGATATATGTACTTTATTTTAACATAGATCATATATGTACTATGCAATAAATACTTCGGCCACATGAGATCCGTGACATATTCAGTGAATATATCTTTAGTAAGCCTTTTATAATCCTAGTTACAACCTTTTTTTTGGAAACGAAAAAGACTACAATTATGGAGCCATTCAATATCAAGCTGTATGACTTGACTCTGAGGAATTGTAGTCTTTTAGACAAATCTCAGTGTTTCCCTTACCTAAGAAGTAATATATATTAAATTGAGGGTACACAGGGGAGTTTAATTGGATGGTTAACACATTTATGTTATCAGATATTTAAAAAATAATTGATACATTTGTTAAAATGTATTTTAACCATATATAGCAGCTCCCCGTTGTTTTGGTGAGCTGACTACCCTCACATGGTACTTTGTTCCAAGACCTCTCTAAAACAGTTATTCCCATGTCTGTAGCCCCTTTTGTTGCTGAGGTATAAGCCTTCAAACATGCCCTTAGGTCAAGGTTCAAAGGGCATTATTTCAAAACAGGGGTCATGTTGAAACCTCATCTTCACATGTTACTCTTTAGGATGAGACCTTTCCAACAATGTATGTCGTTCAGCTCTAAGCCAAAAACTTAAATATTTTCATTTCATAGGTAAGGGGTCTTGTAGTCATACTTTCATAGAGCGCTTTCAAAGCCCAGTACATAAAATGTTGTTTTTTTTTGTTTGTGTTTGTTTGTTTGTTTTGGTTTAAGTATATCATAAAATCTGGGGAACTATATGCTTGGAGGACAGTGCTTGGTTTAGAATTATGGCTAAAAGTAAAAATCTCTTATGCTCTTGTCCATAATAATTCATCCTAGTACTTTTTTTTTTATCCTTCTTTCCTTATAGAAGAGTTAATCTTATTTGTCATCAGTCATTGTTTTAATATTCAGTTTAATGTCTCATAGAGCAACAGGGTTGAACAGGTCAAAAGGCTTCATGTCTCTGCTAGGCCTCAAATGGTCAAATTAGCTCTTTTAAGCACCTTTAAAATGAGTTTTTAACATCAGTCTTGTTCACAAAGCATACAGCATATAGTGGAGAATGACCCTCTGTCTTTTGGAACATTTTCATACTTTTTAACACCCTTTTTTTGATGTTTTGATAAAAGTGTTTCAATTGTGAAAGGTTTAGCAAATTGAGAGTGGGGCCTTAAGTGACTTGTGGGCTCACAAAATCTCTTAGAATCTCTTAGACCTAGGAAGTTGATTTTTGTTTTGGTGACAGTTCCCAATCTCACGAACATCTGGTGAAAATTTGGGGGTTCTAGGTCAAACATAAGTGTATGAAAAGGGATTTAAAATAAATTTGAGTCTATGGAGAGGAGGGAGGGGAGAAGTTGAATTGATAGTGAACGCGCCCTCGGCCTTTAAACCGACAGTGGGCGTGACTGCACAATTGCGCATGTCAGCAGTACACTGTCAGACCATGGCATAATGGGCTTTTTGAATGGGTTTTTACTTAGATTCCTGGAATGGGATCTTTGGTTAACACAGATTTAAGATGTGTTTTTGCAACCAACCTTAAAAAACGTCAGTAAATACCCCCTGAAAGATCTAATAAAGAGGTCGCTCACAAGTGACGATTATCAATACGTCATTATTTGATGTCAGTGTCATGCGCCTGTTTATAGTTCTCATCGCCGGCCGTTTACTTTATTGACTGCATTTTCTGGTATTAATCTAATCCGTCAGGATTATTTTTGTTAAATAAAATTATAAAATCATATAAATCACACAAACTGTACAGTATTGTCTTTATGTATTGTCACATGTTATAGTTTATAATGTTGCTAATACGCATCGATCTGTTCCAATCGTTTTATTAAATTTGGTTGTAATGAAAGACATCCATAACAATGTAACAGAAATCATTATTTATTGTATAGGAGCTTAGTTTGATGTCTAGGGTCTGATGTAACCAGTTTTAAGAGCCGCGAACCAAACGTCCACTTCCTTCTGGTTCGTTGTTAATAGAATGATATACACAGTCTTGAACCTATACCTTTGTTTCCGTTTTTAACACCGTTTTGGTGCCGAATTGAATGTACTATAGTCACAAGTGTTGGGGTAGTTTGTTGTCTTGGTCCCAGGCGCCAATCTCTTGATATATGGATTTTGTGAAAAATCAATGGAGGATTTGAATGGGAAAATATAATTCCGGAACCAGAGCAGCCGAAAAAAGAGCCACGAACCGAACGTCCACTTCCTTCCGGTTCGTTGTTGATAGCGTCCATAGCTACCACCATAGCAACAGTAGAAAACGTAATATCCCAACGTCTTTCTAGCGAGACCTGAAAGAATCTTCGTAGAAACAAACAAACTAAAGATCATAAACAAAAACCGAACGAAGATTATGAAGATACAATGTACATTTGTCGCCAGAAAGGTTATCAAAACTACACTTAAACTATCTTAAAATATAGCATTTTCCACCGAAAATAGAAGGGATGTCCATATTTTGTTTTTTTTTTCGCCAGGGGAAAACTGGGCAGTCACGTGACCTGAGGTATGCCTATATAAAAGAATAGGCAAAAGGAAACGTAGACATGTCACAATTTTAGAGCCCTTATTGTGAAACTACTACGTTTTGTGCTGTGGACCAACGTAGGTATTATACATTTTGACATGAGACTGGGTTGCTTTAAAAAAAAGTGAGCTTATCTCTATGTGTAATGTTTAAGAATTGCTTACATAGATCCAATGTTTGCCTAGAACTACAAAAAGTGCAACGAAGTTTGGCTTGTCCTTTCGCGGAATAGTAATACTGGTGGCAAAGCTACTGCCTGAGGACTTGGAGGTCTGCAACTTAACAGGAGGTCTCGCCTTTCCTCTACTAACTGACTGATCTTGGAGGTCACCAAAGAGTGGGTCTGCTGCTATGCGAGCTTGCTTTTCAATGAAAAGTACTAGGTCTACAATTCTGACTCTACAATGGCGTTGTTCTTGCAGCTCATAAGCACTGTTGCGCCATCTCTCTCTGAATTTGAATGGCAGCTTGAGCACAATGCTTCTCATATTGGACACAGTGTCCAATTCCTCCATGTACTCCATTTCCTCCAGAGCATTGCAGCAGCCTCTTAAGAACATGGCGTAGTCCTGCAGACATCTTGAATCCTCCGATCGTATTTGGGGCCAGGACAGAGCCTTTTCCAGGTAAGCACAAGAGATTTTATATTAGTTTCCAAAGTTTTCTTTTAATAAAGCCTTTGCCTTTGGGTAGCCTCTGTTTGGTGACATGTACTCACAGCTTTTAACAAGTCTTTGTGCATGTCCTTTTGTGAACTGAATAAGAAACTGCAGCCTGTCTCTGTTGTTGTCTGTCTTATTTTCAATCATGTTTTTCAAAAGAGTGGATGAAAGACTTGTACTCGAGAATTTGTCCGTCGAATGGTAGCAGGCTTCCACGTGGTAGAGAGGACTGAAGCTGCTGTTTCACCAGAATCTTTGTCAGGTCATTTTGGTTCTCCAGGATTTTGATAATGTTGTTCTCTTTTACTGTGATGGGGCTGGAAGGAAGAGTTTGGTCTTCTCTACCAGGGAGAGTTGGTTGAGTGTCTTGGGCTGATCGGTTTAATGCGTGGGGACTCAAACGAGCTGGGACAGAGGGAATTCTGTGGGCTGAGGCCTGGTACAGCTGTGGTTGTGGGCCAGCAGACTGACTGTCACGACACCTAAATCAAAAAGGGGGAAATGAGCCTGCACACCTGACCTGCTTCTTACTACTGGAGATGTTTTATAAGAAAAAATAAAACTGTCCTGCTTTAAATCAAACTTGGAATCTATAGCTGCTGCTGCTAAACCAGCCAAACGAGCATCAGGCTGTATTGAATTACTAAGTGACACTTCAGCTTCTTTTAGGTAATTAATTTTAGCAATAGTGGCTTCTATTTCTGTCTGGAGTTCTAATGTTTCTCTTCTTTTTTTAGCAGTTGTTCCTGTTCTTCAATTGCATGCTTTTGTTTAAGTTTTGAAACTTTAGCCATTAAAGTTACCCTCTCCGCTTCTGTACTGATGATTAAGGATGAAGTTGAAACTCTAGAACTAGAGCTAGAACTAACAGATTGCCTATCTAGATCCCTCAGGTCTACACCCTCAGCCTCCTCAGGTGGAGAATACACTGTTTTAGTGGCAGCAGAAGAGGCTGCAGCTAACCTAAGAGAGCTAGGGTTTTCTGTAGCAGATGAGGCTTCAGCTGAGCCAACAGTGCTGGGGGTTTCTGCATCAGCTATCCATTTTGTCACTTTTGAAAGGAAAGTTATTATCTGCACACATTTGGGCTGATACCATTTTTCATCATCTTTTCTTTGTTCTTGATCCAGCGTTTCAGCATAGGAGGCATGTGTAACGGATGTGGTCAGGGGGGTGAAGAAAACCAGACTTTGACCGTTTTCCAGCTTTTATTTTCTGCAGAAGACAAAAGAACATTCAATGTGCCTTGTGGACATTTGTTTTCTGCAGCTCTGCTCCCTCAGCAATGCAAAACGGCACTATCTGAGCTCAAAACACATTTACATTACAATCATTTCAATATTTTAACTATATGTAAATATTTATAACCAAGAGCTGCTACAAATGGCTGAAAAACTTCGGTTTTACAGTGTATATTAACAATAAATCTCATTAAAAAAACATGAGAAACAGTAAACCAAATGGTAAAACAGTGACACCTAGTGGACAAAATAAACGACAACATGCGGCTGTAAAACAAAACAGAAAGTATGAAAATACAAAGAAATACATACCTGCAGAAGACAAAAGAACATTTAATGTGCCTTCTGGACATTTGTTTTCTGCACCTCTGCTCCTACACATGCAAAATAAATATTATTTCAACTGAGAATATCTGCGGCACTACGTCAATCACGTGACACATGCGCTGTAGGATATTACACAATTCGCGCCAAAACCGCTACATTCAAACAGTCTCCAAAGTGATATAAAACTCTCAAAACCTAAACAAAATGACTGATTAACATCGTATTACTATCAGTTTATAAAATAAACTTAACATTACAACTTAAATCACTTATTTTCCACAGTAAATAAGGTAATGATGCAGCAACGTTTTTACATTCAACTTACCCTCAGCAATGCAAATCGGCACTGTGAGGGACAGACGGAAGGAGCTACGGTAACCCAGGAGGTACAGAAGCCGCAAAGTGCCTAAAAGGTCATTCTCAAAGGAAACATAAATTTGATAAAATAACAGTAAATATACACAACTCGTTAAGATAAAATTCACAAATACTTAACAGAAATAAATTATAAATGAAATCGCAAGTATAAATTGTAAACTGTACTCAAAAATAAAGTGCATTTTAACTCCGTTACACATGCACAGCTTTAAAATCATCCAAAAGACTCATTGAACGTCATGTTTCCTTTAACTTCCTCAACAAAGTCTTTATCAGCCATTAAACTGTTCAGAATGTTCATCCTCCGTGTTATGTGACACATTTGTCCTGATCGGGATGAGCGAAGACGCGCAGCTGCGTCATCCAAGTCTCATCCAAGGTTCCAAAAAACGTTCAAAAACTTCCTTTTCTTAAAAAAAAATCGACAGATCATCAAACAGTTCTTATCTTTTCCAATATCCAGTTATATTCAAATTAACTGGATATTGGAGCGGTGGAGGCCGCGCCTCCACCGCTCTCAATTGTTTGGCCATGCCTAGAAAGTTGCAAAAACAAAGAATGCAGTCAATTCAAACAAAATCAGCGGTGTAATTCGTTTCAATATACTTCAAAAAATATTGTCAAACGAAAAATTATTCTTTTAAACTTGCTTTTCAGGCACGTACCTCCTCCAACGTGTTTCTTTGTTTGCTCCGCTATGCGTCAAGCTGGCGTTTCCTCTGTCTTTGCTCCGCCTAATGTCCTCGAAGTCCTCCTGTGTCCATCCACAGCACGTCATTGACGATTGAAGTAGCAAAAACTCAAAAATCAGGTTTGTCCTGTAACCTCTCCAATATTTTCTTGTTTTTACCACTTTGGAAGAAACGGGAACAGTTCATCAAACGCGCAGACTTGATCCAAAATAAATCCAGTGAGAGTTGATTCTTAAAGTTGCTGATAGTTTTATTGCAAATAAAAGTAAACCAAAAAGTATGTGTGGTGTCTCCAATGACCTAAAAAACATGTAATTGATATAATTAAACGAGACTGCGGTCAATGACGGTATGCGCCGTGACCCGTCTTCCCCCCAGGTGCGCTCTGCACTCCCCCTTATAGACTCGCCGCTCTGCCTATAGAGGGCGCACACAAAATTAGTTACAAATTAAAATCAAATACAATAAACTTAAATGCAGCTCCTACACATACCATACTGAATGCAAAGTGTAATTCGTCGTCGTGTCTGTTTGAAGAACAACAAACGCCGTGTAAACTTGTCTGCAAACTCTGTGCACGGGAAATGATGGCAAGAGACCGATCGAATGTTCCAAACAAGGTTTTATAAAGCGTGAGCTAACAGCAGGAAAGTGACAGGGGAGGGAGGGGCAAGACAGTCCAATCAAATTGATTAGAGTTATTGACAATTATTAAAGAATTGCCACCATGTGATTCTAAATTAATTCATGTTTTTAATGTATAAATTCCCAATTATTCGTTTTTTTATTTCTGCCACATCCCTTTCTAGGTCGGGGACATTTTTAAAAAAAAAATAAGGAACTCCTGGCAGTAGCCGAGTTACTGGCTGACGGCGGTCACTGGTGTTGGTTTCAAGGTGGGACGGGACAAAAGGGTTTGACACAAACGGATGCTTGATCCCAGCAGGGGTGAAAATGGGGTGTTGAGTCCGATGCGGGGGGAACCCGAGCAGCCGACGACAGGAGAGAGGGGGCGAAGATGGGAGGGGTGCCGCTGACGGGGGGGGGAACTACAGTCGAGTGTGATGGTGTCGAAAAGCCTTGAGGTGGAGGCATGGGACCTGTCTGGGGACGAAGGGCAGGGAGAAGCGGAAGCAGGGAGGGGCAGGCATGTAAATGAGGTCTTATTGGCCTTAAATTTCAAAAGAAATCGTCAGGAACTGAAAAAACTAAGAGGTGGAGGAGGACCCAAGTGCAGAATAAAGAAAACTATTTTATTTTTTAAACAAAAACTTACTTAAAATCAAATCCAAAATGTCCAACTCAAAAACTATAAGAGGGAATCACAAGACGAAGTCACTGACAAACAGACCGACATAACTACAATGAACTGACAACACAAGGGAAGGAACACTGAGCCTAAAAAGACATGGGCCGTATCCGAATTGCCAAGTACTCAATCTTTCAGTAGGCAATAGGCAGTATGCAGTACGTACTATCCGTGCTGCATACTGTTAGTACCTACTATTCAGTATGCACACACAGTAGGCAGATATTTGTGCCTACTTCTTCTGATTCATTCAGTATGGAAGTGACGTCATTTACGTTTCCCGAACCGGCCGCATCCACCCGTTTTTTTGTTTTTTTTTGTTTATCTTTATTCAAGAAGAGTAATGCGCATATACAGTCAGGTAAACAAAAAACAATATCACGATGTAAATCAAGTAAAAGGCAGATTGAATAACTAAATAACATACAGTACATACAGGAAAGTACAAATGAAAGACAGTAATATACAGAATATAAAATAAACCAATAAAGACACATTTAAATAGTAAAATGATTATTCAAATTGAGGGGGAAAGGTTTTATAATAATGCAGATATTTGTTATATTTTCTGTTGTTAATTAAAAGTAGTGATTTCAGTCGGGACTTTAAATTAAGATTAAAAATTGATTCAATTAATCCACGCTCGTTTGTTTTGATTTGGAGGCGGACGTGACGTGACGATTTACGTTTGATTTCGCACAGCATTGTGGGTGGTAAAACACAATTCATTTCCTGAAAGCACGCATCCGATCCATCCATACTGCATAAAACCCGGAAGTTAGTATCCATACTGAAATGTTCAGTATACTGCGCGGACCCAAAAAATGCATACTGAATGACCACGAAAGTTCAGTATACTGAAACTCCATACTGAATAGGACGTACTGCATACTGAACTGTGACAATTAGGAAAGGGCCATGGGGTAATCAGACACAGAGACTAACAAGACACAGGTGAGGACACTCAGGGTAATCAAGACAGGAGGGAAACACACCGAGACAGGAGCAAAGACAACACATAATCTAAATCATGCAACACAGAGAAATCAAGAATGTAACAAAACACATTAGAACACAGAGACACAAGGAGAAAAAATGACAAAAGAACCCAGGAAACTCTAAAGACTTAACTAGGAAAAATTAACACAAGGGAAACAAGCAACACTGAAAATATACAAAATACAAAACCAAATTCATGTGTTGAAATTAAGTTGTTACTAAAGGTGTAAAACTGAATTGGATAAAGTATCAACTTTAAATTACAGTCCCACCAGACGTGGGGTGCGTTCAAATTGTCATTGTTGCTTAGGAAGGTTCCTAACTGAGTCAAATGACCCAGAAGCATTTAAGTGGCGGCCATGATAAGGGCCGTTTGAATTCTCTAAACGCTAAGGAAAGGTGGGTCAATGCTTCCTTTATAACCTCCTTTAGCATAGGATACACTGGACCATCCTTTACGAAAGGGGTTGAGATATGCCGCCCCACAATTCCTTGCGGCCACAACATTTAAAGCGACTCGCGCAGCAACTAACGATGACAGAAAAGGGAAGGAGATCATGTAAGTTACCGTTGCAATAATATGCCTTGAACAACTTTCACGTTATGCTGATGTTGTAAAACGATCAAAGTGAGTTTAACTTTTATTGCAGCCTATGCTCAGTTTGCATTTGTTATTTATCCACTTTGAGTGTTTTGGCAGCCGTAAGCAATATCATAAATAACATTAAACTTTCCTTCATTCACAGATGTTAAACTGGACGCACTCCAGTTTAGGCTGGGAGTAAGTATATTTGTTGTGAAAAACGTTTTTACTATAAATGGGTATGGCAAATTAAGCTAATTCTGACCTATAGGCAGGTGGTGAAGGAGATGGGTCTAAAGGGGCAGGTGACTGCCATAAAGGCCTAAAAAAAATGGGACAATTTAAAAACCAAATACAAGGTAGGCTAAAGCAAATCATATGGCTGGGCACTGTGGTGGGCTGGTGTTTGTGGCTATTCCCTTGTACATTTAAAACAGTCTTATGTTGGCTACCCCAGTCTTAGGAAATTTAATGTGCCTATTACTTATCAAACATTACACATTTGATTAATTTTCAACATTTGAGGCAAAAGCAATTATGAGTACACACAATGTTGATGATAATAATACTTTTATTCATAAAGTGCTTTCAATCAATGTGCTGTACAAAGCTCATACAAAAATACAGGGACATGTTGAATGGCTTGTAACTATTCCATTAGGCCTTTTGGTCAGTTTGCATTCTGCCCCAAATGCCCTGTCAGTAACATTCTTTCATCCATGTGTTAATAGGAGTTGAAGAATCCCCCCACCGGAATGGTAACGGACAGTGGTGAGGCAACAGCAGCCACTTGGCCATGCTTTGATGCCATGCATGAGGCTCTGGGGGAAAGACCTTCTATTCAGCCTCCCACCCTCATTGCCACATGCCCGGTGCCAAACCATGACCAGACTGCTGCTGAAGCCTCATTTTATTTTTTATTTTTTATTTTTTTATTTAACTTTTATTTATCCAGGAAAGTCCCATTGAGATTAAAAACCTCTTTTTCAAGGGAGTCCTGGCCAAGAGGCAGCAAAAGTTACACAGTCACACTCACAACATACAGACAGCAATTAAAATGATAAAAACAGTTACAAGTAAAGGAGGTCGTCTCAAGTGCTCTCAGCCTGGATTTAAAAGCATTCAAAGAAATCAGTTCAGTTATTTTCCAGTCTTTTTGCAGCATGTTCCATGTAGAAGGAGCAGAGTAGACGAAAGCCCTTTTTCCCTGCTCTGTGCGGGCAAATGGAACAGACAGCAACAACTGATCATTTGAACGCAAACCGTAAGAATCAACAGTTCTCCGTGTGATTAGGTTACAGATGTAAGAGGGCAGTAGCCCAAGCATGGCCTTGTAAATAAAAGTGCACCAGTGTCCCAGCCTCCTGGTGGACAAAGAAAGCCATCCCACTCAAGAATGCAGTTCACAATGAACCTTGGGGGGTCTGTGCAGGGAGTCACAGGGGCAGCTCCTGTAGAGTCAAACAAAGAACCAGATGATACAAAATGCTTGTTAAAGCAATTTAGTACCTCAGTTCTATCATAGACTGGGACAGAGTCTTTTAGAACAAATGTCGGAAGAGCCTGAGGACTTTTAATTACAGATAAAGTGATAAAGGTCACTTTCCAAAATTTCTGTGGATTATTGAGGTTCTCAGTTGTGACAGATAATAGATATATATATATTCTGATTGAGCCTTTTTGGTAAGAGAAGTGCATTTGTTCCTTAGTTGCCTGAAAATAGACCAGTCAGAGGCAAAATCACTTTTTCTGGCTTTGGTCCATGCCACATTACGTTGATGGATGGTATCTGACAACTCTGGGGAAAACCAGGGGTTTTCTCGTCCCTTCACCCTGAATTTCCTGATAGGAGCATGTTTATTTACAATTTTCACAAAATTTTCCTTAAAGAATGTCCAAGTTAGCTCAACATCCGGCAACAGACCTATATGCTCCCAATTAACCAAAGACAAATCATTATGAAAAGCTTGTTCATTACATTTTTTTTAATTCCTCTTGAAAATAATGCATGGTTTACATTTGGGGATTTTAGTGTCCCTGCAAGTAGCAACAACACAATGATCACTCAAATCATTACAGAAGACTCCCAAGGATGAGAATTTATGAGGAACATTTGTTAGAATTAGATCAATCAAAGTGGACTTATCAGAACTTTTAAGATTTGGCCTTGTAGGTAGGTTGACCAGCTGGCTAAGATTAATAGAGTCACAGAAAGATTTAAATTCATCAGAAACTGCATTTAGCCAGTCCCAATTCAGATCTCCAGCCATTAAAAGTTCATTATAATTTAATTTGGACAAAAGATGCTTCAAGGACGATAATGCCTCCTTTGTGGCAGATGGAGGCCTATAGCACCCAACAACAGTCATAGACAGGGACTTGGCTATTTCCACCTTCAATGCCAAAAATTCCATTTGCTTACAGATCGACTCAGACAGAACAATTGAAGCATCAAATCTTGATTTAACATAAATAGCTATACCACCACCTTTCTTGGGCCTGTCGGTACGATAAACATTGTATCCGAGTATGCTAATGTCTTCATTTTTAATAGATGTCGTCAGCCAAGTTTCTGAAATTATCACAATATCTGCATCTGTTGATCTAACCCAAATTCTGACCATGTCCATCTTTGGTAATAAGCTGCGCACGTTAAGATGAACAAATTTGAGACCAGACATTAATTTG